AAAAAAAGAGATCACAATTTTAAATTAAAATTATGGTGTGCTAATTGAAAATTGGTGTTACTAGTTAAAATAGTATTCTTTAAATTATCTATTTTATCTTGTCTTTTAATTTCAATCATGCCTTTGTATCAAAATGGTCGCTATGCATTATAATGAAAAATTATTTTAGTAAGTTAGAGCTTCTAAAATATTGTTATAATATAGTTTTAATATTAATTTAATTTTGATTAAACATTTATAAAGTTTTTTTGATCATAAATTAAAGCTCTTATAGTGTATTTAAATAAAAATCAAAAAAATCTGATTTAAATCAAAAAAATCCGATTTAAATCAAAATAATCCGATTTTTGTGATTTTTTTTTAAAAAATCAAAAAAATCACGAACCCTGCTTTTAATAATCGGTGTAGATTTTAGTCGTGACTACGTAATTGCAGAAAGCTTTTAAAAAATTTTAAAGTGAAAATCCTTTTTAATAACTACACAAAAAACGATCAACAAAACCATGCTGATTCACTGTAGAATGGTCGCTAATCTAGTGGATCGAGAAATGCTAACTAACTGAATGCGTGTTTCTGAATTTGTGTGTTATAATGACATATTAAAATATCGCGATTTTGAAAACCCTGTGGAGATCTGTAGCAAAAGCTGCAAAAATAACCTAAACCACGTGGATTTATACATTGTTGATTGAAATTTATGTTAATTATTGTCTGTTTGTTATTGAATAAAGATGTTTTGATGTTTGTTTACCTTAAAGACCTATTATTCAGAAAAATCTATTTTCCAAACCCGTATCCAAAATCCCGATGATTTCGGTTATGGGACTTTCAATATAAATAACAAATTTATATATGTACCTACATAAATCTAGTATCCTCCTCTGATTTAATTATAAAATTGTATTGTTTAGGTATAATATATTGGCTATGCACAACAAATAGGGGGGAAAAGAATTACAAAGAATTAATCAATACATCATATACTACAAATAGGCACCTTGCGTTCATTATCTCTAAGGAAAACGAAATTAAACATTTATATTTGTTTGTTCACAATATCTTAAACTGTTGATAGTTATCATCTTTTAATTCATACACATTTTACTCAAGTTTTCTGTTATCTATTTCTAAGCTTAATCTTATGAAGAAGTATTATGGTTTTTAATATTTTTGCATACTGCTGTAATCTTTGTTTCACTATTCATTTTTATTTAATTAAGGTATGTGAACACAATTTGAGCAAGCCCGAGTATAACCCTTCTTCAATAAAATTCAAAATACAGATGTCAGCCTTGTAAGTAATTTTGTTTTTATTTTGTAAATTGAATTATAAGGAAAGTTTCATAATGAAATGTTTATGTTATTATTTATTACTTCTTTCAGTTATCATATACCAGAATTGAGAATTAGGAACATATCAAAACTCTATTTAGATAAGGTATGTTTTATATTCTATAATAAGTTACATGCCATTTTTTTTTAGTAATTGTTTTTACTAATGACTAAATTCCTATATAAATTATCTGAGGCAGTTATACTAGTGCTTGAGAAGGAAATAAAATCTATTACTTGTACCAATACTTATTGAAGAATAAACTAATTACTAAAGAATTTAAATTTATATAACAGTTATCAGGTTTATAACTACTTAAAGTAGTTAAACTTGGAAAGTTTGAGAGAAAAAGTTTTAGGAAGTAAGAAGAAGTTTTAAGTCAATTCAAATAAACAGTTTGGTAGGTTAAAAACAATAATGAACTTCCTTATTAAATTAAGCAGAAAATCATTCTTCAATTTCTAAAGTTGGAACGCATAGTTTGGCTGGGTCATACAGAAAGAATGGGTGAAAATTAGGATTTAAAAATAATCTTACATTGGCAATAAATGAACTCCAGACCGAGAGGAAGACCCCCCCCCCAAAAAAAAAAAAGAATGGTTGATGGATGATGAACTAGATTACCTTAATTATTACATAAGTTGCTAAAGCAATATTACTTCTGGTAGTAAGGTGACTATTGTAAGATTGCACCCTCACAAGCAGAAAAGAAAGTTGATAAAAACATAGCAAAAAATGCTAGACATTTATTCTTTTAAGTAGTCATGGTGCGTAGCGTTTTTAAAATTGTGCTTTAAGGTGCTTATCTTTGACTTTCGTTTTTTAAAAAGCCCTTTAAGGTGCTTTTTTTTTATTGGGTGTTTTTAAAAAGTACTTAATTTTCCCTTTTTGAAAATGAGATTTTTTTTTTCCTTTACTATGTTGATTTTTGCCACGTATTATGCAAAAGCGTGGTTTTCACCTTGTGCTATTCAACGTTTTCGCAATTCATTCAAGCAGAGTGCATTTCCATGTACTGCCAGTCCGTAGCGTATGAAACTCTCCAATCGTTTTACATCTTTAATAAAATACTTGTGGGTCCGCATGTGCACTTACTAAGCTGAGTTTGGCGTGATTTCTGCACTCTCATGTGCAACTCTGCTGCATTTTGCAAGATATTCTCATTTTCAGGTTTCATTTTTCACCCTCTGAAATCTAACTAAAAAATCTCTCCATCTTTTTATGGTGGCTAATATAATCAAGAAAAGAGTTCTTAATCAGAAACTAGTTGCTTTATCATGATTATGTAAAGTTTTTGAAAACTATTTTGCATTTTGTTAATGTATGTTGTGCTTAAAAGTATTCTTTTAGTGCTTAAGAATATTCTTTTTGGTGCTTGAAAGGTGCTTATTTTTGTTGAAAGATTTGACTACTGATAGTATAAGTTTCTTTACTAATTATTTTTTAGTTGTTTGGATTTTTTCTTTTATTTTTGTCCACAAAGACAAATATCAAGAAACAAATTTAATTTAAAGTAACCAAATTTAATTTTTGCTTTCATTTATAATTTATTATTGTAACTTGAAGTATAATAATAATAGAAATACCCAAAATTTTAATACTAAACATTTCATGTAAATTTTAATAAAGATTGATAGTTCATGTGTTTTTATCTCTATTAATTGTTTTTGTTTTTTACCCCAGTAAAAAAATAGTTGGTATTTTTCCTTTGTAGGTGTGTAGAGTTGAAATGGTTCTTATTAATCCCACACCACATCTAGCACATGTTACTTTCGACCAAGTAGAAGATACTTCTGATAGCATGTCTAAGGTAAACTATACTTTTTCGTTCCTAACCATGTGATGAAGTATTAAATTGTATTAGAAACTATTGTATTGAATTGTATTAGAATCTATTTTCAACTTAAAGATACCATTTCCTTAGACAAGAAGAGTACATGGGTCATTCTCACAAAAAGGTGATTTTTTAAATCCCTGAGTAATAAATATTAGGAAATACAGCAGATTGATTTCTTAATATTTTTCTTTATCATTTTACGTGAAGTTCTTAACTAACAAATCATATGCATTTCTGCTAAATGTATTTAATATTTCATTCTTATTTTTTAATAAACATGACTTCAAAATCCCCTCCGTGGACGTCCCTACGTCTGTGGCACAAAATAATTTTTAATGCCTGTTAAACAATTTAAATGTTATTTTAATGATTTTTGTAGTTTTACCTAGTTAAATGTTTATAGTAACTTTTTATTTAATATTTTTTTAAAAAAAATTTATTTTTATAAAATAAATGACTAGTAAACTTTGTCCATCAAAAATGATGTCTCCCTCCGTGGACAATTAATATAGTTCTGTAAATATGCAATAAAGGGCAGCATATGCGAAATCCCTATAAGACAGCTGCTGGGAGGGGTAACCATTCCATTTTCTAATGTTAAATATCAGTTGTTTTTGTTCTCTTTGGTGTCAGTTTTGGATTGTTGTGTTCAACTGGGGTTTGGCAAAGTTCTCACCGTATACTCCGTGGACATCATAAAGAAGGTAAGAGAAAATTATTTTATTTTTGATAGATGAATTTTAGATTGCAAAAATAGTATATTTAACAAAAAGAACTGCCCCATTTTTGTAACTTTAAAATTAAAAATCAGAAAAATTCAAGAACTAGTTTTTGTCTCCTCCGTGGACATCCCCTCCGTGGACATAACAAGTCCACGGAGGAGAAGACACAGTCAATGTAAGAGACAATGTGTTAGATAACCATAATACAATTTTAATAATTAAAAAACTATTTTCTTTTAATTGATATTTTTTAAAATGGAACAAATGTGTTAATTTGTTTCTATTTTTAAAGAAAATCAATTAAGTTTAACTTTTTCTTATCGGAGAAGTAAATATTGGCAATTTTTCTAAATAATTTCTGTGATGTTTAACATTTTTTTTCTCTTCAAATTTTAGGAAAAAAATTGCAAAACCAAAATTTAAGAAAAGAAAACAATCAAATGTTCAAATGCGAAAGAGAAGGGAACAGAAAAAACTTCGTATGAGACAAGGTAGACAGAAATTAAAAGAAAACCCTATATTGTTTGAAGAAAGTAAAAAAAAAAAGAGCAAGAAACTTTAAAATTTGTATCAGAAAAAGATTTAACAGAAATATAGTGATTAAATGTACTTAAATTACTAGAAATTGATAGAGCAAGCCGTTTGTGCCCAGGGAAAAAAGAAACAATAACAAGAAGAAAAGAGAAAAAACAAAAACGTTATTTGGATGACAGTATGTTTAACTTGCATAAAATGGTCACAAAAAAGTTCCCTCAGCACTCAACTTTCATGTGGTGTCTGAATTTTTATTTCAATAGTCTTTACATTTTAATTTATTAATATTCACTAGGAGTTACTTAAGAAATTGTACACCTAGGTTAAAAATGGATGTTTCCTTTCATAGCAGCATGATTAATCGGAAGTAGCTCTATCTCTAATAATGAAATATTTTATTATTTACTTATTAATGTTAAACTCGTATCAGTTGTGCCCAATAATTAATGAATTAGTCTTCATTGACATTTTATATTTATAACATAAAATGTCTCCTCCGTTGACTATTACGTCTCCTCCGTGGACAAGGCAGAATTTAAAATATTTTAAATTTTGTAAAAAATAAAATAGAAAACTTGACCATTATTATAAGGACATATAACAAAAATAAATAAAGGCATTTATGTAATTTTTATCACTTTTTTAATTACTTTAATTTAAGAAATTTTTTAGTCTATTTATACCTTTTCAGTGAGAATGACCCACATCTTGATTGCAGTTTTCACTAATATCTTAATTTTCATTAGTTTTGACTGTTAATATAATGATCATTATTTTCTGAATCTTTGAATTCTTAAAGATTAGCTTTATTGTGCTGATAAAATTAATCAGGGGTGTGACACTGATTAAAATGAGTGCATTTTATAGTTTTATCTCTGTCATTTATCACCAGTTATTTCATGCTAAGTTTCATTTTTGTTTTAAATTCACTATTATTTTTCAGGCAAAATTACCCCTTGGAGAACTGGTCCTTGCTCCAAGAGATGACACTGCTGAGTTTGATGACTTAAATGATGCGCAGAATTTTAAAGATGATCCAAAGTAATTATTTCATATATACCAATTTTTTCCTACTGAATTTTTTTATGCTATTTGTAGCTTTAAATGCCTTATATACTCTTTCCACTTCTAACCATATTTTATCCATATTATTTTCATCTTAATTTTTAATCCAATTGTTACTGTTATATAATTGGGTTATAATTCAAAAAGAAACATTTTGTAATATATATTCCTATTTAGAGAAGTTAACAATTTGAACAGTTGAAGGTACACGGTTATATATGTCTAAGAATTTTAAACAATAGAAAGAAGTAATTTATATCACTATACATATTCTAATTTTGATTTATTTTTGGAAAGTTATTACAAATGTGTTTTGAGTTCTTAAAAGTGCTTACTTTTTGTTGAAAAATTTGGCTACACACCCTGTTTATGTTTATACCTTTTTTTTTACTTCATTCATAACAAGGATTCTAATATAAATTTAAGATCCTCGCTTTGGAGGATTCTGTTTAAAATGCATATTTTGTCAAATAAGTGCATTTTTTCTCAAAACTGAAATGCTTACCTGTACTGCATATATGATTTATTCATTAAAATGAACAAATATTACTTACATATTATAAACATAATTCATTGTTCAATCATTTTAAATAACCATCTTTAGTTTCATATTTTGAATATTTTGATATAGTTTTATTTGATTTCTTCTAATATTAATGAACTTAAATATTATTTTTAGTGTTGTGACATTTCGAAAATCTAATAAGCTTGGATTTATCTTTAGTGTCACGCCATCATCAAAAGATGTTACAGTAAGTAAACATTTCGATAGAATAATTTTATAACTGCTGTTATGTTATGTACGTAGTACCCTTATGTTGCAGTTTACTTACACTCACTGTATATAATCCATTGAAATAGATGATTTACTAACATTTAAAAAAAGTCTGTTCTTAAGTGTAATGTGTGGAGTTTTTCCTTATGTTTATTTAGCATGGATTGTTCAATTTTTCTTAATATTTCAGTTCTTTCTATTGTTAGTTTGAAAAAGTATTATTTTATGTTTCTTAAGCATGATGTATTTAATTATAGAGATAACTATCCGAACATACCAGAGTACACAAATCTTTCCTCCCTTTTTTCGGAATCAGATAACATTTTTATTTTATTACCTTAAGTAGATAATGAATATTGCTAAACGCTCTCCAAATGCAGCCATTAAACATTTAATTTTACTTACTGTTTATTTTTCTCAAACATTGTGTTTGCAGTTTTTTTCAATAGTTAAGCTCTCCCTAAACATTTTTATAACATTATCTTTTTTTTATTTTCTATAAACATTACATACTAAATTTTTTTAATAGTTTATTTTATATAAAATTCTTTAAAAATTATTTTATTTTTTATTGCCACATCTGTTATGTTTTTCATTTCTTTATGTTCTCATTTGTGGTTTAAAGTTCTTTCTGGCCATTGAAAAAAAATATATTTTCCATTATTTAATTATTATTTTTTTTAGTATTGTATCTTGTTATTGTTAAATTTTACTACTGTTTGAAAAAATTGATATTGTTAATGCTTTTCTTTTATATACTTTTACATACTTTAACTAAGAGATTTCTAAAATTGGTATGTATGTATAGTTTTATGATTTTTACTACTAATCACTGAAATTCCAAAAAATTCAATTCGTTTTCTTTTTAAATCATAAACCAATGCATTGAATTATTTAAAACTCAAATAAAAGAAGTTATAAAAATTTCAAATATATATCGTGTTTAATCTCTGAAACAATTAAAAAGTATTGAAAAACATTGTAATGCAAAATTTCTGTAAAATAATTTCTATAGAAAAACCATAGTAATATTTAATGAACAGGCCGAGCGGTCAGGGTACTTGACTGTGAAGCCACTGGTCGTATGTTAGAATCCTGCTCGGGGCATGAATCTCTCTCTCCTCTTGTGTGAATGTGCCCCCTCCCTATAAACTGGTGTGTGTTGTAAGTATTGTTTCTTGCCTCTGTGACTTAGGTTCACGAGTTCCCACCAGGTAATGTTAAATGAGCAACACTTTCAGCATCTTCTGTGGCGAAGTACCTTATATTTTAAAGCCAGCAATTAGTAAAGAAGTAATACTTAATGTATGTAGAAAAGCAAAATAATAGTGAACAAAAATTATCGAATGCTGTTTTGTATAATTATATAAAGTATATTCTTTATTTTCCACTTTTTTTCATAAAGGTTTATTGTTTTCAAATGACATTCGGTCACTAAAAGATCAAGAAAACGAAAATTGAACTAAAGCTTCTTAAGTCTGATTTGTTTTTTCCTAATGTTTATGTTTTAAATTATTTTAGGTATCATTCATGTTGAAACATGACTTCATTAATATGGTTGTTACCCTACCTGGAGAACAGGCAAGAGAACCGCAAATTGTGTGGCTTAACCATATAGTTAAAGTTCACCTTGGAAATGTGCTGGACAAGTAAAATTTCAAAGCTGCTATCTGAAATGCAAATTTTTTAATTTATTGTTGAATAATTATTGTAAGGGAAGTGCTTAGGGCTTAATTATTTCAACTCCTTTGAAAGTTAATTCTTATCAGCTGAATCTAATTTCTTATTTTCTCCCCCCCCCTCCATGAAACTTGTAATGTTACATTTATATTGCTTACTGCACTTGTAAGTAAAGATAAACAAAATTTATCTTGTGATAAACTTTGCTGGTATTTATTATAACTTGCTTGTGATAAGATAACTTCTGGCCTTGACTCTCGAACTCTGTGTGTGTTGGAAACTTGGGGGAAATGTTTTGTATAAACTTGTTGTAAAGTTCATACTAATGTTTGATTGCAATATAGGTATTTTTATACATTAACAATTTTCACAAATATTGTTGTTTTGAAATGGTATTCTGATGTGTAAGCAATTCATTTTCAAATTTTTGATTTATTATAATGTAACTAAAATGCTGCTGAAATAAATTTCACTAGGGAACGATTTTTTTTAACAGGTCTTTGATACTTTTGTATTGCTAATTTCAAATCTGCAATCAATTTTTCATGCAGTTTTAATTCTGATAGTGTGCTTTAAATCCCCTAAAAGTTTTTTCGCGACAGATATGCAACTTCTGTTATATATAACGTTTTAAGACTGGTGTGTTTCAACAGAAATAGACTGAAAATGACATTTTTGAAAAAGTCTAGCTTGGAAAGAGAAACCAATTGCAGATTTGAAATTGCCACACCCGAATTAGTCAAGGTAAGGTATTTGTGTAAATGCAACAAAAAAATCTGTTCCCCAGTCTTATTAATGTCATGATAAGCTAGTGCAAAATATATTTGCTGCTCCATGTATTTTGTAAGTTTCAAATACTAAAATTTTCTGTACATCTCTCAAGATTTTTGATTGTTTATTTGTAAATTTTTATTTATTAAAATTTATTGATTATATTTTATGATGGCTTGGTTTAGTTATTATAGAGGGCTCAAATTAGTTTTTGTCATTTTACATTATTGCCTTTTATGTTTAAAATTGAAATAATAAACGGAGCTAGGTACTTTACAAATTGCAATTAAAGTGCAATAGGTATAAGGTAGGGGTGCATTGGCCCTTAAATGGTCACTATGCAGCACCCTGCCTTCAAACCAAAAATTTTTTGAGAAAAAAAAATTGCATCCATGACTAGCAGTCATGTAAGAATGTTTATGAATCTTCTACTTTCTCAGTAAACTTTGAGAAAGGCTGAAATTACAACTTTAAAATTAAAAAATGTAGAGATGATTTTTTTTTTAAAAATTTGTCAGCAGTTCTACTTGCAGAAAGTCCTTTTTTTCTTGTTCTTCTAAATGGTCCTGTATATTAAAAAGTCTTGACTTTCTTTTTCTCTAAAAGCACCTAGATAATAAGAAAATTAGAATTGGATTGGATACTATCTAGAATCAGATTGGAAAGGAATGACTCTTCATACCCCAGTTTACTCATTAGAGACAGAGTAATTAGCCTAAACCATGCTCGTATTGTAAAAAAAAGTATGAATATATGGAAACAGTGAAAAATATGCCAAAACCACCAGTGGGTTAAATAATATATTCTTAACCAAAATATGTTCGAAATGAGTGTAGTGTAAGGATTTGCTTGAAAGTTTAAAGTTATGAGTAGTTACGTACAATAAAAGATTAACTTTTCCATAGAGAATATTGAAAACCTATTATAATTATTTAATTAAAGAAGACAGAGTATGCAAAACTTAAAATTTTTCTTGTATCAAACTGTGGCCCCTGATGCTACTTTGTTTTTACTGTAGCCAGCCATTTAAAAAAAAAAAAAAAAAGGTGTGCATCCTTAGTCCATGTAATTGANAGAGATCGATAGTGGCTCAGATACCCCAGTTTACTCATTAGAGACGGAGTAATTAGCCTAAACCATGCTTGTATTGTAAAAACAGTGAAAAATATAGTCCATGTAATTGAAAGAACTTCATGATAGATTGTGAGAAAAGCAACTTGACAACTATTTTTCTTCCCCTTGCTAATGCTATCAATGTTAAAATAAAAATTTGGACTGCTGATAAAAAGTAATTTTTGATAGAAAAAAAAAACATTTTTTTCCAATATGTAGCTTATTACACAAAAATGCCAAATATATAAAAATCTCAATTTTGAAGTTTTTGTCGCTTAAATTGATATTTCTTTTGATCGGCTGTGACACAAGTCATGTTTGAAATGTAAATATTTAGCATATTTAGACTGGGATTATTAACTGTGAATAAATGATAGAAAGTCAATGCGTTATTGAAAAGAGGACGTCAATATCCGATCTGCAGAGACTATCATGAGCAAACACTGTAATCACCAATCAATTCATTGCTAAGGTGCAATTTGGTTTAGTAGAAGAATTATGGCTTATGAAGTAGACTATCGTTGTAAAGGTGTAATCACTTTATACTGCTAAAAACAATGCTACTGCTCCTTGTTCTGTTCCAGACAGTCCCACTGTGGGCTGATCGTAAAGACACGAATAGTAAATCACCGAAGTCAAGCATCACTGTCCGTGGTCAGTAGGCGGGTGGGTCACCACTTTGTCTGTGTAGAGTCCGAGTGTGCACGGTATTGGTTGAACTGTTCTACCATAAAGTGCTAGACTTTGCGCGCACGTCGTTGGGCTACCAAAGTAGATGAGCCATCACCTGTGCAGAGGATCAAAGTAGCAATGGCATGTCTTCGGATCATCCTCAGGGATGTTTCCCAGACCATCGCCCATTGTGCAGCTCTAGTGCGGCTTAAATAAAGTACCTACCTGTTCCAGGCATCATTTACTTTTTAAAGACTCTTACTGAAATTGGTTAATCAGTTAAACTCAATCTGCAATGCACTTCTCCGACTGTCTTTTATAACCCTGTGGGATGATGTTGTCAAACTTGTTAACTTTTCATTTGAGTAACCTTTGTATCTAGATGTTACCGATTGGGATGTTCTATAGTTACAGCTAACTTTCTTAAACCACTCCACGCAAAGTCAAACACAGTCAAAGATTAAGTTTCTTTTGCTGTTTTTTGAAATTGCACTTAACATGTTCTCTCATTAAAACTCTTCAATTTTTTTCTTCTTTAGAACGTATCTTAAACAAGGGTGCCACTCTTCAGTCCTGGGGACTGAAATCAGTCTTGAAAGAAAATCAGTAGATGAAGTTTCATAAATTAATATTTCAATTTGTTTTTAATTTTAAAATGTATGAATTTCCTTAAAAATGTAAAAAAAAATTTCTGTTAATTAAGAATAAAAATTACATTTTAATGTAAACATTGGTAATCTTTATAATTATTGTGAAATGATCAAGTAATGATGTAGCTCATTAATGAAAAAATTAGATTGAACTTCAACGCTTGCTTGCTTAAACAAAATTTGTACTACTGTTGTATCTAAATTTTATTGTTTTTATTTTTCCCAAGCGTTTTTTAATGCTGACCCATGTTAAATTGAGATTATTTTTATTTTAAACTCGAAGAAATTATAGAGATAGGACAAAAAATAAATAATGATTATGTGAAAAAATAAATGGAGATATGTATAGCTTAGAAAAAATTTGTTGTTTATTATTCAGTGGTTGATGTAAAAAGATGTACGAGGTTAGCTGTTATTTTTATCTAGTTCTGTAAAAAATAAATTAATAAAGAAAAAAAACTTGATAATTATAAGTTCTTATTATAGAAAGATACATTCTGGAGTCGGTGAACTATAAATGTCTGAAAATTCTAGTAAATAATTCTAGATCGTGTTCATTTATCAAAAAAAGTTCTGTCATGAAATATTTTTAGAGTGGCACCCGTGATCTTAAATTCTGTATGGCAAAATATAGTATGTAAAGAATACATTGGGCTTAAAAATGTAAAAAGTTATTTATTTCCACTTTTGTTCAATACATCGATGTACATCTCCTTTACAGAAGTGCAAGGAAGGTTTATTTTTGAGTACAAAATGTATTCAGAGTGAAAGTAATATAGGTAAGAACAAGGCATATTACAATTAAACTGCAATGCAGTTAGTATGCATTTTATGTTTCATAGGAACATGTTTTAAATTAAAAAATATAAACATTAAAAGACGTCACAAGCATGCCAAAGACTATAGGACCAATTTCTTGGGTACTTCCCATGGAAATTCTTCTCTTCCAAAGTGTCCATAGACGGAGGTGTTTTGGTAAAATGGCGTGTAGAGCTTAAGATCCCTGTAGGAAAAGAAAATTAAGTTATTTTCAAATGAAGGGTTTATGAAACTTAAGGGTGTGAAATGTTCTTAAGGAATTGTGCACTCTTCATCAAACTGAGGAGATAGATTTTTGTCCAATATTTGCAGTAAATGTAGAAATTCAATTTTAAATATACAACTTTTTTAAAATTTGTTAGCTCAGAAACTATTTCATCAATTTCGTTCAAATTGTGTATTTTGCCTTACTTTTCTAAAAATTATGTAAAAATTTGTATACCTTACAATTCAAAATATTTTCGACTGCTATTAAATAAAATATTAATAAATAATAATTAAAAAATAATTTTTGTGTGGAATTGACCTTGGATTAATGAATTTTATGATTGTTTGCAAATTCAAGAAAGAATTCTCAAGATAAGGAAATTATGCAAAAAGTAGAATTCTGGCTGTCTTGACCAAACTATTGGCAGTATATTTTCCAGATTGCGATTAACCCTCCCCCCCCCCCATAGTTAAGAATCCAAATCTGTCGTAAGAAATGTATGTATATTCAGAAAAAATTCGGGTTTGTCTCTGATTTTGTAGCTTAAAATGTCGTCTACGCTAATTAGTTAGCATATTTTAGGTCAATTTCTCAATAATTTAAGATCGAGTTATAGTTTTGGTCATTGAATCTAAAGAATGATAGGAAATCCAAACATTGTGCACTTTTTTATTTTGCACACTGTGCATGTTTAGAATGTAACATAGCATTTTTTCTAATTATTTTTATGAATGGTAAGACAAGAACTTAGAAGCTTAAGGTATTGTGTACCGTCCATTTTATTTTTCAACATTATTATTTAACTCTGTTGGCAAAGTATTTAATACTAATCAATATTTCAAGAAATTGATTCAATTTCAGTGCATTTTGTTTATTTTATGTTATATAAATGTATAAACTTTCTTCCTCTTTCCTATTGTAAAATTAAAAGTTGAATCCTCATTTTTTTCATAAATGAGTATAATGTTTGGCCGCTAATGTACAAAATTTGAATGAAATCGGCCGAATAGTCTTAATACAGTTTTGTTCAAATTTTAGATTTTGTCACTTAAAATTGCATAGTTTCGTGAAAAATTTTATATCTTTATTATTCTAAACTTTCCTAACCCTCATTAAATTAAATAATAATGATAAATTGTAACAAATTACATTTTACATGGAATTATGCGTAGACAAACAAATTAAACCATTTTGTTTTTAAAAAAAAAAATTTACTGTTCTTAATATTTCTAGATATTTTCAAATTCTGAAAAAGTAAAATTATCTTCAATAGGTCCAAATTTTCGAATATTTCCCTGACTGAATTATTAGCTCAATATTTTTTAGATCCCCATATTTTAAATATCAAATTTTGTTGGTTGAAGAAGAAAAAGTTAATGCAGAAAAGCTATGGTTTAGTGCATATTTGGGCATCGAACCATTTGCATTTTAGTATGTGAAAATTCAATCCAAAAAGTTGTTTGGATGTTCTGTTTTTATTTTGCGTATTGGAAAACTGGTTAAAACGGAGACATTATCATTAAACTACCAATATATTATTTAGGTTAATGAAAATATACTCACTTGATAATTCTGCCAGGCCTTAAGTCAAAATTGTCTTCAACTATTTTCAACAACTCTTTGCTGCTTTTGTCTGAAGTTCCATAAGAAAATACAGAGATCGATAGTGGCTCAGAAATTCCGATTGCATAGGATATCTGAAAAAAAGAACAACTCACCATATAAATCTCTCTCGGCATGTTATGCGAGATCAATATTTTCTTAAACATTTCGTTTAGTCAAATTTTAAATTTACAGAATTATAACTAAAAACACCATATCTAATAGAACCTTTGGTCATAAGTTGAGCAATGATAAGTGTTTCTAAAACATTGCGTGGATTCCTTTCTGCTAGACCCTGCATTTATAGATGTTCCATTTTCCAACTAGTACTAGTTTAGGAACTCGAGTGCTTTATGTATCAAGTGTTGCTGCTAAAAATAAAAAGTTTAGGAACTCGTTTAGGATTTCTTTTTAATGTTGAAAAGTTGGATGCAGCCTTACTTTGGTTTGCGTATGGCCATGTTATGGTTCAATTCATACCATTCTATCGTATGGAAGTAATATTTCCTTTTGAACCATTTTACTGTTCTAATTGTACCATTTTATTATGTGGCAATAATCGGCTCACATCGAACCATTTTGCTGTTCAATTTAAGCAATGCTGCCATTCAAATTATACCATTTTATCGCTTCACAATATGGTTCAAGTTAAGCCACGCTGGGGTGACCCACCGGTGGATCATGCTAGATTGTCTCATCGGGCTGCGCACCGGAGTAAAAACTGGTAACAAATAAATTTCATTTTTTGTTTTTTTTCCGGGAATGATAAAAATCCAAACCTACCAATTGTTTTCAACGGATGCAATTTTTATATTGAATTGCTTCTTCGCTGCGATAAATTTCCTTACAGTGAATTGTTATTGTTGAGAATAGATTAACTCCTCCCGAATATTATCTAATATTGAAATAGTTCTTCTACCAGTATTTTCTCTTTTCCGTCCCGCTTTCAGGCGCAACACCCGGTGTGAACGTGTTAATGTAGATCAAGTTTAACCACGTTACCGTACAAACAATATTCTATTGAACCATTTCGCAGTTCGAGTTGTACCATTTTATCATGCAACAGTAATATGGTTCAACTTGACAAATTTATTAAAGTTAATTTGTGCAATATTAAATTGATGGAATAATTGCGCAAAAAGTTTCGTAGACTTTCTGTTAACTTCGCTATATCATTACAAAGAAAAGAAGTGGTAAATGATATGAGTTTTTAAAGATCATCGATTTAATTATTACGTTTTTAGTGTCAGAAGAGATGGAATCTGATTCCTGAGGAATAATCTACTCAAATTTTAATGAAATGAATTATAATGTAAATTTTGCTTTATGCAAAGTTACATCTTTTATTTCAATTTAATCCAAAAATTAGATTACTAGAATAAAAGGCAGGGTACGATTCTTTTACGTGAGCATAGGACGGAGTTTGCAATTTACTTTATTTGTGGACAAGAAGAGAGTGGGAGTCCGAAATTATGAAAATGTGCTTACTTAATATTTGAAAGAACCCCCAAAAAAGTATATAAATTCTATACAAAAAGAAACTTACTTGTACTAGGCATCGACGGCAAAGTTTCGCTGCTACCAAAGATTTGGCGACCCATCTTGCAGCATATGCTGCAGATCTGTCTACTTTAGTTGGATCTTTTCCTGAGAAGGCTCCTCCTCCGTGGGCTCCCCACCCTCCGTAGGTGTCCACAATTATTTTTCGCCCAGTAAGTCCAGCATCAACCTACAAGGAAAACAAAGATTATTATATGTTCCTTATAGTTATTGTTGGTTTCGTATTTTTCTTGGAAGATTTATTCTTACCTTGGGTCCTCCATTGACGAATATTCCGCATGGATTTATGTAATAAATAGTTTGCTCGTCCCTCATATGTTTAGGAATAACTTCTAGAACAACCCTTTGCATCACTTGTGTTCGAAGTTCTTCTAAGGTAATGTCGTTCGTGTGCTGTGTTGACACAACAACTGTGTGTACGCGTTGAGGTACTGCAGCTCCTTGATCAAACACGTACTCGCACGTCACCTGCAAAATCGTGGTTTAGTTTTTATCCACACTTTCCTTTAGTTGTATATTTAGTCCATTGTATTCATTAACTTTTCACTACATTCATTTTTTTCAGTTGATATACAGGGTTATTCATAATTCCCTCCGGGGTTTCGAAGCGTTGTAGTAAAAAAACGAAGACGAATATGGCAAAAAAGAACATATGAAATTATTCCGAAAGTATTCAAGTTTTAACTTAAGCAGTTGCCGGTAGATGGCAGTAGCATGTTCCACTGAAGCCAGTTGTAGTAAAGAAAAATGGCGTTTACAGGCGGAGGGAATTATGAATAACCCTGTATTTATAGTCTACTAAATTCTTTACTTTTAGTTAGACCTGAAAATTTTAAATTAGTTGTAGGGCAAGTATAATACTAAGACCAGGCAACAACAAATGTCGCCGGTTACATTTAAATTATATTTCATAATTAAGTATGTTTTATTATTTTTTATGCAATGAAAAACTACAAATATGAAAAACACAAAATTTGTAGCTACAAATATGAAAACTTACTTGTGATTTTGAATCGGGACCAGCCCAAGGAAATGTTCCGTTTCTTCGTAATTCGCCGAGTTTAGAATTAAGTTTGTGTGCGAGCATGATGGTGAGTGGCATGAGTTCTTCAGTTTCATCACTGGCATACCCGAACATTAGACCCTGAAAGAAAAAAAATTGCTTAAATGAAGTTATATTTATTGTGTTTTAATCTTTCAAAATGCCTTCTTCAGAACGTTTTACCCATAATTATTATTAAGTGCTATTATTATTCCCATACAGTTACAAGCTTATTTACACAATTAGTTGGTCACAAAATAGTGGAGCCGTGGTCTTCCTGGCTCACTACAGGCTGTTGCGGGAATGCTCTACTTTAATTATTCTATTAATTGTTCAGTCTGTATGTTACCGGCAAAGTTGTTAAACCGGCATATTAATGCCAAAAACCAATCAGAAAAATAGGAAATGGTTAAACATGTTACGCGTTGATTAAGCATTGCATTTAATAAAAAACTGCGAGGTATTGAATAGCATTACTTCGTGTTTTCAATTTGTATGATAGTAATTTATTTTATAACCGTCATTGAATAGCCGACCCAATCTTGGGTTTACGACTACTAATGTTCAACTCCGTAACCTCGTAATTTTGAACCAATCCAGCAGACAAGGTAACTCCTGGATCAGTACCCCCAGAGGTATGATTTGTTATGGGAACAGAGAGGACATTGTGACTCGACAGATTTAACATGCATCAATCACCATTTACTACATATTACCATTACTTCGGCCGGCGAGGATCGAACCCACAACCTGTTGGACATGGGCCCAGTGCCCTACCAACCAGGCTATCCCGGCCATAGTAATTTATTATAGTATTGGTTGAAAATACCTTTTTCATGTAAAAAGTAGATTCATTTTTTTTTTCAAATTAGAAAGGCTTAAATTTTTAGTAATCGCCAATATTACTAATAATAACCCGAAAGGGACGCCTGCAGAACCATTGTCCGATATGCCCTACACTGATGTTTGTTCTAATCGAATATTATCAAAAATAACTAAATAAGTCAGTTAAAATAAAATATGAATGCGTAAAAAATTAGATTTATTAAATAATGAAAATGTTATTTTTATTTGATCGTCAACTTAGTAACCTTTTATAAAAGAAAAGAAAATGCGAAGAAAAATTACGCATTGTCTTTTTCTCCGTCATTTACATCCACAAAATCATAATATCATATTTTGCGTTCAAATTAGTATACAATGCAGCATTTTGTACATAGTCCACAACAAATTTAGAATACGAACATCCATTGCTCAGATAATAATTATTGGTTTGTGATAAATAATGTGCAATTAAAAACTCTCTTGATTCTAATCTTTTAAAATAATCAGAAAAAATTGTTTAGAATCTTAATTTTTAGATATAATTTATGAGAACAAACTATTTTTTATATAGATTTTTTCGTCTTTTAGACGCAGTAGTTTTTCTATTATTTTATTTGTACAAATTCAACAAATACTCTTTTATATATTTACCTGATCCCCTGCTCCAATATCATCTTCGTGTTTATCGACGTGTACGATGTTGGCGATTTCTTCATGCTGTTCATGGATTGCTATTTCGATCTCACAGTTTTTGTAATCTAAACCTAACAAATAAATTATATATACATATATATATTTGTAAAATCGGTTAAAAGAAAGGATGGAATAAATTCGAATATTTTTCATACATAGGAGTGTGTAAAATTCATTCGCATATTTCTTACCTTTTGATGCATCATCGTAGCCAACATGTCGTACGACATCTCTTATTACTTTCTCGTAATCGACGTGTGCACGAGATGTTATTTCCCCGCATACCAAAACTTTGCCTCCTTTGGTAACAGACTCTGAAAAGAAAAGGAGTAACTTCAGTTTATAAGTATCAAAAAAAAATTAATTAAAACAATTATTCTGATACAAATTGTTTTAAATAGAGAACATTCAAGGGAGTTTTCTACTATTAATGCTAAATAATGTTTCTTTTCCGTCCGAAAACTTTTAAATGGCCCAACTACAAGATTTGCAAAAATAATATATTTATAACAAAATAAAGACAAGAAAGAATAATAAAAGAAAAGAGAGATTAAGACACTAAATGTAGTGATATATTTTGCTTTATCTATATTAATACAATATTAGAAAGCACTCTTTTTTGTGGATATAATCGTGAGAGCTGATGACGAGATTATATCTTTCCTTATTTTTTTTTCTTATTTTTTTTTATTTTTAAATACTTTTTTAAAATATTTTATTTATTAATAATTTTTTCTTTTCTCTTTAAATATATTTAGATATAAGCGTTTTATTTAATATATAATGACATTCAATCAAGGAATATTAAATATTGTGGCATAATAATGTATGAAGATAGAAAATTACATTCCTTTTTTTTTATTATTATTATTAATTTTTTCTTTTTTTTTAAGACGTTATTTTGCAGGTTTATTTCTTACAAGAAATTTTCACAGTTTAATACTACATTTATGTTTCCATTATTTTACATATTTTGATCACAACTTTATTTATACTTGCGTGTTTTGAACACAACTATATTTATTTTATCATTCTACATATTTTATCCACATCTATATTTATATGTTATTTCACCCAACTCTATATTTACGTGTTTTGAACACAATTATATTAAATTAACATATTTATAGTTATATATTTTGAGCACAGTGTAAGAGTCCTAAAAAATTCGGATAACATAAGCATTAATAACATAACAGCACAACGAGATCAATAAAAAAAGCAGACGATAATTTTGGAACTTCTTGAAGTTGATTGTTTTTCAGACTGAGTTTTTGTTAGATGAGGTTTACTAACCCGTGTAGCAGTAAGTAGTGAAGCATAGGTAGAATCCGTTAGACGAGATGTAAAAGAAGTTTTGAATAATATCATTGCCCAAGAATTTTCAGTATTTGTTTCTGATGTCTTTTTGTGGAATGAATTCGTTGGAAATGGTAAAAGCCTTCTTGATATTAAATATATATTATATTTCATTAGGTTGTCTTATGGAATATTTTAAGTAGTGTTGAAAACTTAGGTGTATGTTCAGAAGTTTTTATTTTGAATAATTTTGTATTTTTATAGAAATAGAAACTTAGTTACGAAGTAATTATTTCGATATATTTTTGATCTTTTCTAAAATGGCTGTAAAAACCTTAAACATAAATGGTGGTATGTGCCACATACTGTTTTTCGAACAATATAATATTAATATTATACGGTACTCAAAGTTATATGGCTAAAGCGGTGAGTGAGGAAGTAGTACAGCATGTAACGAAGCATTGGGATAAGTTTTCTTTCTTATCTCATGACAGAGATGGAAATAACTTTAATACTTCTGTTGTCTACTGTGCTGAAGTTTCCCGAACTCATATTTACGGTGATTTGTGGGATTTAAAATTATTACTAAAAATTCAATATTAATATTAATTGATAGTTAAACTTGAAATCAAAGTACTTCCGCGTAGGTATAGCTAGAAGGTGAAAAAAATGGGTTAATATGTTGTTTAAAACGAATAATAGATTTAGAATTGAAGGAGAAGTTAAAGAATTAGAAAATTTAAATACAGTTGTGCTGAGCATTCGGCATGGTTACTGGCTGCGGTCAGTGTGCGGTGGGTGATCACTTTGATTAGCCTGCGTAGGGACCCGAGGGTGCGCGGTATCAGTCCTCGTTAAACTGTTCTACCGTAAAGTGCTCGACTTCGCTCGCAGGTCGTCTTGCTTCCAAAGCAGGGGAGCCATTCCCTCTACAGGGGATCAAAATCGTGATGGCGTGTCTTCGGATCATCCTCAGGGATGTTTCCCAGACCGTCGCCAATAGCCTATTGTGCTGTTCTAGTGCGACGCCAATAAAGTTACGTTACCTCGGCATGGTTACCATTAAAATTTATATATTACACGCTAATTTTGAAAGGTGACCAAGTTGGTCGCCAAAGGCGGCTAGTATTTTTAGTGTATCACAAGATTAAATACCAGAAAGATAATTAATAAATGATACACAATATATAATAATGTTATTAGATGAGATTTAAAGTTTCTTTCCACAGAAGTTAATTAAAAGTTCCTTTCCGCATAATTTAAATTAATATTTGTATATTAATTAAATTTTAATTACATTATATTTTGACGTAACGGCCCGAACAAAATATCGGTCCCTAAATTCATATAATTGGTAAGTGATTATTTTTCCAATGCTTTTTTTACCAGGTGTGTTTTTTTTTCTTTCTGTGATTCTAAATGCTTACCACAGGCGACTTTGGAACAAGGATCTTGTTTTAAATGAGCATCCAGGATAGCATCACTAAGTTGATCGCAGAGTTTATCTGAAAAAAAAAAAGTAATCATGTGAGTTCATCTGTAAGTTGCAGTGGTGAAAAATTAAAAACTGATTCTTTAGCGAAGTTATTTAACTTTAATTTTTTACGAAGAAAAAACTGAAAGAAATTAAAGAAAACGAATCATATTATTATTTTATTTTAATTTACAATTGTTATTTTTTGCAGTTATAGGTAGTTTTAAATAAAAAACGAATTGTTTTATGCGATGAATGACACATTTTCAAAAATAATTTATTGTGTATTAATTATTATTTAGAAAAGAAAAAAAAATGAAGTTGAATATTGAAATCGCGTCAACACCTATGAAAGAAGCTAATATTTTTTTTAAATTAAAAGTTAGATTAGGTATATAAATAATTTTTTTGATTTGAAATGTCTCCATTGCTATGCAACTTTATATAGTCCTTAATCTTTTAAAATCCTCGTTAAAATTGAAGTAAAAAAATATACACATTGGGGCTTCTTTTATAGTATTTAAGTGAGTGAATAAAAACGAACAAAAGCGTTAACAAAAGATGACGAATTAAGTATTTCGGATGGCGGATTTAAAACATCAAAACCAGTGTGATCGTCGAAGGTATTTTCTAATAGTTACCTTTAACGCCTCTTAATTTCCACCGGCATTCAAACTGATTTTTGTGTTTTTAATCTCTCTTGACCATCAAAAATTCTAAAACTGTAATCTTCTTTACTACCATTTTTATTACGAAACAGAATATTCTAACAAGTAAATATTTGACTAAAGCTTTTCAAACAAATATAACAATGAAATTTTAGATCTTTAAAATTTAAGTCTCCTTCACATTTAAGGAAAACTTAAGAACACTTTGTTGAAACTTTGTTTTACTATTGAATAATTTCCGAATGCATGTTAATAAAAATGAGTTTATCGTATGAATTTAGTTGTGAAGTTTCCTTGGGTTTTTTTTTAAATTAATAATTTTTTAATTAAATTACACTTTCTTGCCACATCCAGTGATTATGCAACTCGTTTAAAGGGCATTTAATGGAAGAGTTCGTCAGTTTCACTCTTAAAACATGAGCACCACTATACCGGAAAAAAATTATATAGTATAAATAATCATCATATATTAAATTTCATGATCGGAAACTAAGTGATGATCATATTTCTGGCACGCAATCCTTTAAAAGCTTTTATTCAGCAATGGTATATCATTAAACTTAATTTACTCGTATGACGAATTCTTGTAAAAGGTGATGAAATATATGAAGCGCTAACAAAAATTCTAACTACGCATTAATGATTTTATTCAGAACTGAATACTTATTTTCAAAAATGAATGTCTTTTCTTATATCCATCATAACGTATAAGTACTATAATAGCCCATATTCCATATAGCTATATAGTTCTACCAACAATTGTGAATGAAAACATTTATTGGAAAAAAAGTAAAATTTAAAAATCGTGAGGTGTAATAATTTATGTATTTTCAGGTATTTGTTGCTATTTAAGAAAGCTTTTTCAACAACATTCCAATTTACTTGATGAAATATCACGTTTATTTAATCGCGTCCAACGACAAGTTTTAGAAACTATCCTAGTTTAGCAACTCAGCAAGTGAAATTTGAAACATTTATTCATATATCATTCTGATGATAAGATTTGCTTAGTAGCAAAGCATTTTATTTTTCTTCTTGTTAAAACAATTTTTAAATTCTATTTTGTAGAAAAGAAATTAATGTCTGTTATTGTGAAAAACGATAATGTATATTTATTTTCATATTTTATTTCAAATGTGAAGTAATTCTAAATTAATCGTTTTCAATTTAATGAAGTGATTCATTAAACGATTAAAATTCCTAAAACGATTTAAGTATTAAAATTGAACGATATTTAATTATGCATTTTAATTATCAGACGATACGATTATATTTAAAATAAATGCAGCGGCGAACTCTTGAAACTTTCACAACTTTAATCACTTTTCATAATTTTAAAATAAAGTCTTGAAGGAAATTATGAATGTAATGATGAAACATTTTATCGAATTTTCATTATTCAGCGATTGTTAAGTCAGTATTTTCTAGAATCCACTAGTTTAAAGTGATGCAAATAATTTTAATTAAAGAAAAAACACTTAGGAAATAGAATAGCAGGTCTAGGGAGGCTTAAGGGCGATTTTAAAATGCACTTCTCTATTTACAATATCGAGTGAGAGGACTGATAATATAAGTTGATAAAATTGTATCATAACCTTGATAGATAATGCAGACACATTACAAAAGCTAAGGATTGATAACAGCTCCACAAGATAATGTGAGTATGATATAACAGATTATCGCAATGTAAACAGTCTGCTCAAACGCAGTTATAAAAGAAAAACATTTTGTAACATTTAAAGATGCGTAGCTTGGTAAAGTCCTAAAAGTAGATAAGTGTGAGATTTGATTAAAACTTATAATGAAAGTTATATAAGTTTTAATCTTTTAAATTTTTAAAAATTAGTTTTATAACAGTATAGGAAAGAATATAAGTACGGGATATTTATAAATACCTAATGGGTAGGTATTTATAAATAGTAAGAGTATCTATAGATATTTATCCCTGCCCTGGCTAAATACCAAAAATCTGATAATTTACAGTTTTCAGTCATTTTTAAAGCATAAAATCATAAATATTTATACTTCTTTGAATATTATTAAAGTCTTCAATTTAGACAAATATGAAAGCTTGAGAAGGAATATTTCAAAAATTATAACTACCCAGTAAAACAACTAAATTTTTCTGGGCATTATCACACTAAAAAAATAAGGCAAAACAGTTTGTAATTAATAAATTGATTTTATTTAAATGAGTTATTTTTCAAATTAAACAAAATGCAAGTTAAAATTCAATTTTTTTATAATGATATGATAAAACAAAGGGTATTTATTGCTTAAAAATATCAGTAACTGAGTTTTTATTACTATAATGTTTGCTATTCTAAATTAAATATTAAACTAAAGTAAACTCAGTGGCTCGACAGCCCATAGAGGGCCAAGGCCTACTGTGGCCATCTCAGTTTTCTTGACCTTGGGCTCTGGGGTGCAGGAGCAGATGTTCTGGTCAAGTGGTCAGCCGAACGCGGAACCTCCAGCATTTAGTTCCCAAGCATGCTTGGTACTCATTTATCGACCCACTGAAGGGATGAAAGGNGTTTTATCATAGATGATAAAACAAAGGGTATTTATTGCTTAAAAATATCAGTAACTGAGTTTTTATTACTATAATGTTTGCTATTCTAAATTAAACTAAACTAAACTCAGTGGCTCGACAGCCCATAGAGGGCCAGGGCCTAATGTGCCCATCTCAGTTTTCTTGACCCTGGGCTCTGGGGGGCAGGAGCAGATGTTCTGGTCAGCCGAACGCGGAACCACCAGTGTTTAGCTCCCAAGCATGCTTGGTACTCATTTATCGACCCACTGAAGGGATGAAAGGCTCTGTCAACCTTGCCTGGCCGGAGGATCGAACCCAGGACCTGTGGCACGGGAGCGCGAGGCGCTACCACTCAGCCACCGGGAGTCAAATGAAATATTATAATGTTTTACAACTTATTGCTTAAAGTTTTTAATTGAATTTACAAATTTATTTTTTACTAAACGTTCATTTAAATTGAAATCTATAGTAATTTATTATAAGATATATAAACCTAGTAATTAGCTATATATAACTGTTTATGTGTTTCAGAGATAAATAAACCATTTTTTTGGCTGAACTTCAAACATGTTACTTAAGTATTTAAATACTCAAGTACAAGGAAAAAAATATGTTTATGTATATTAAAAACTAGGATATAATAAGTTTAGGCATACTAAATAAAGTAGTAATGTTCTAGCGTTACATTAGTGGACATCTAGTTAGAAATAAGTGATAAAATTTGGTTCATAAAATTTCAAAATTACAAAAAATTCAGAAAATAAAATTTTGTCCAGATTCATAATTGTTTACCAAACTGCATGCATTTGTTAACTGCATTCTTATTTGTTAAGTACTAATCAGAATATTTTACAGTAACAAATTTTATTTAAAAAATTAAATGCTAGAAGTATTAGTATAAGTATTATAATTTTAAGTTACAAAAATAAAGTTCAATTTTTTTTTTTAATTGTGCTTTCCTGTAAGAATTTATGAACTTCAATTTTTTTCATGCATTAATTTTCACATAAAAATATGACATTTAACAATCGTAATTAAAATATAAATCTATCTTTAGAATAATCTAATTAAATAAATTAAACATGCAGTTTTATGTGAAAAAAGTAGTTTCGTTCAATTCTTCCAGGGCAGTTTTTTCAGCAGTGGAAGAAACTCGCCAACTTAGTTTAAGCTAAACATAATGAAATTTTGAAACTTTTAAGCTAAAATTCAAAAAAGCCAGCAAATTAAATCCCGCAATCTTTAAACTCTATTTTTTAATCAATTAAGAATCGTTATATAAAAGCCCATAAAAAATTTTAATCTGTTAAAAAACTTGAGAATTGTTCAAAAACACAACATCGTACCTAAACTAAATATCAAGCCGTGAAGGAAGTATGTATTAATTGTAAGCAGGAAAAACAGTAACAGATTATTGTTCTGTCATTAATTTTTTCAAACTAAATTATTCAAAACCTGGATGAATTATTGTACTTTAATAATGTAACAGTATTAATATTTGTAATAAATATACTTCCAGCAGCATTTTCCTAATTTAATCATCGTTTTAAAATCACAAAATGATATTGCAGAGAATAGTATTAAAGAAATAATTAAATATGAATTTATGGAGGATCAAGCTATTCTTAAATAAAGAAAATCAAAAATTAATAATTTAAGTTTTAATTTGGTGATACAATTTCTGGGACATATACCCATATAACTCCTCTAATATTTATGTAAGTTAGATTATCAATTTCAATGTCATTTTTCAAATTATAAAAGTTTAAAAATCATTTATAATTAAATGTATGTCATTGAAACATTTTGGCATAATAAGATAATAAAAAATTACAATCTTTTTTTTTTAACGTTATTTTGCAAGTTTATTTCTTATAAGAAGTTTTCACAGTTTTAAATTATATTTATGTTTCCATTATTCTACATATTTTGATCACAACTATATTTATACTTACGTGTTTTGAACACAACTATATTTACTTTATTATTCTACATATTTTATTCACGTCTATATTTATGTGTCTTTCACACAACTCTATATTTACGTTTTTTAACACAACTATAATAAACTTATTATTATTCTACATACTCTGATCGCTACCATATTTACAGTTACATGTTTTGAACACAGTGATATTGCAGAGAATAGTATTGAAGAAATAATTAAATGTGAATTTATGGAGGATCAAGCTATTCTAAATCAAAAATTAATAATTTAAGAGTTAAATTGGTGATGCAATTTCTAGGACAATTACCCATATAACTACTCTAATATTTATGTAAGTTAGATTATCAATTTGAAGGTCATTTTTCGAATTATAAAAGTTTAAAAATCATTTATAATTAAATGTATGTCATTGAAACATTTTGGCACAATAATGTAAGAGAATAAAAAATCACGAATCGTTTTAAAGTCACGAAATGATATTTTGCAGAGAATAGTATTGAAGAAATAATTAAATGTGAATTTATGGAGGATCAAGCTATTCTTAAATAAAGAAAATCAAAAAATTATAATTTACGTGTTAAGTTGATGATACAATTTCTAGGACAATTACCCATAAAATTCCTCTAATATTTATGTAAGTTAGATTATCAATTTGAATGTCATTTTTTGAATTATAAAAGTTTAAAAATCATCGAAATGATATTACAGAGAATAGTATTGAAGAAATAATTAAATGTGCATTTATGGGGGATCAAGCTGTTCTTAAATAAAGAAAATTTAAAAATTAATAATTTAAGTGTTAAATTGGTGATACAATTTCTAGGACAATTACCCATATAACTACTCTAATATTTATGTAAGTTATATTATCAATTTGAATGTCATTTTTCGAATTATAAAAGTTTAAAAAACATCTATGATTAAATGTAGGTCATTGAAACACCAATATGCCTCTCAATTTTCGTTGTAATTAGTAATCCATTAGAGAGATTAAAGTGTAAGAATTGATTTACCTGGATGCCCTTCACCCACTGATTCTGAAGTGAAAAGAAAGGGCTCTGCTGCTCCATGATGTTCCCTGGAGCCATCAAGCAAGCTAACGTTTTGCTCGTTTCGTACCATTTTGTGTTCTGTGTTCACCAACGCTTACCGTTTCTATATAAACTGCACCGCAACCTTCCTGAAATCGAAAAGAAAGGCCTGTTGAAACACAAGGCTCAGTGATGTAGCAATTTTTTGTCGTCTTTCTTTCAATTTGCTGAAATTATCTTATCGCTCAGAGAGTCCTTTTGCGTCATGGGACAGTGGATGATTAAGTAATCTTACAGTCGCCTCGTGGGAAAAAAGGCGACTTGTGTTTTTTTTTAATAAATCGATTTTGCAGTCTTGCATCATCCTCAATTGTTAGAGAAAATTTTTATTCCGAATGGCAGACAAACAGAAGTTTTCTGTTTACGTTCTGTTCTTCGTAAGTAAACAGTGCGGTCAGGAAAGGTCTTGTTTGTTGCTATCCTTCTGAAAGGTTTACTGAACTCTAAAAACACTAATATGATTCCTAAATTTTAAGAATTTTGTTTACAATTTGGAATTTTCTTCATCCACTTGAGAGCTTAGTCGATGAATGTTCTAAGTGACATTTAAAATAATTAGCTTTATATTTTATACTCGTTGACAATAAAAAAAATAACGAATAAGTATTATTAAAGATTCTCGTTGAATGTTTAGTGACAAATGCACTTGAACCATCTTTATCTCAGAAATAAAGAAGGTTTAAGCTCATTTGGCAACATGATAAATATGTATAATATGATTTTCGTTTACAAAGTATGGAGTTTTTAATTAAAATGGAATTTTCTTCATCCATTCGACAGCTGAGTTTTGATGAAAGTTCTAACTTACCTTAAGAAGTAATTGGATTTAAAGTGTACAGGTTAAGAATAGGAAATATAAATTATAATTTTCTAATGTTTCTCGAAGATTTTTTAATGCCAATTGCAGTTAAACCTTTTTCTTCTCAGAAATAGAGAAGGTTTAAGAACATCTGACAGCGTAATAAACACCATATATAATATAATTCTCAAATGTTAAGAATTTTGTTGATAAGTATGGGATTTTGATTTTCTTTATTTACTCAAGAGTTGAGTTGAGGTTCTAACTTACATTTGAATAAATTATATTTAAAGTGCATAGGTTAGCAGCAGGAAATATAGATTTTATATTATTTTAGCCGTCGCTGAACTGCCAACCCAATGTTTACGACTACTAATGGTCAACCCCGTAGCCTTGTAATTTTGAACCAATCCAGGACACAAGAAAACTCCTGGATTAGTACCCCCAGAGGTATTGATTTGTTATGGGAACATGGAGGAGTTTGCGAACTCCACAGATTTAACGTGCATCAGTCACCATTTACAACACGGGGAGTCTTCGGCCGGCGGGGATCGAACCCACGAACTCTTGGACATGGGCCCAGTGCCCTACCAACCAGGCTATCCCGGCCTAGGAAATATAGATTATAGTTTTCCAATGTTTCTCGTTAATTGTTACGTGCCAAATGCACTTTTTTTCCATCTCAGAAATAAAGAAGTTTCAAGCGCATTTAGAAACGTTGGAAACGTTATGTCTGCCAACTATGTATGTTCACAGTAAATTGAGAACATTGAGTCAAATTTGAATTAAATCGGTTAAAAATCTTACTAGTTAGAGCGTGCTAGATATAGCGAGTAAGAGAAACGCAGTTACATGTAAATTGCGTTTAAAGTTTTGGAATCAGTAATCCATATAAATTAATACATAAAAATTTGCAACTAACTATAATGAATCAATACCAGGTCCATAAGATGCTTCTTCTCCATCATTTTCAGCAGTCTCAAGTGCCCTTTCTAACCCCTTTTGTTACAGACCTACCCTCATCTGACCAATCATAAATTATTTGTGTAGCAGCTGAAATTCTGAGGTCATCTTTACTTTGAGTATATTCTTTATCTGCTGAGCCTATATTTAAATCGAATTGTTACGAAACTGTTAATAACACTTTGCAACCTTCATTAAAAATTATTATTTCAGCTAAATATACGTTGCACCTTCAACGATTTATATTGAAAGAATCATTAATTTTTTTCATACATAATTTAAAGACATTATATCAATATAATAGTTAAAAGGATATATTTTCCTAAAATGTTTTGATAGGAGTGAAAAATCCTTTTATTAACTGAGGCCACAAATTCACTTTTTCATGCATGTTACAGCGTGTCCTGCGTCGCTTTCTACACTTGTGTTACTTTTAAATTTTTTCGAAAATCAATTCAATATTTTTGTGTAATATTCTTAAAAGGATAAATTATCAAAAAATGCAATTTTTTTTTTTTTGAAAATTTTACTGTGTTGTTCCCTCTTTAATTCTTTTGTCTCATCAAGCTGATAAAAGGCAAGGCCACATGATGTCTGAGTTGCTAAGGAAGAATTTTACCTTGTCTTGTCGACTCAAAAAAATGTTCTAGATATAGATTAACGGAACAAATGGGTTCAATTATACAACTTAACATTTTCATGAGCATTGATTGTACATATAAACAACAGCATGAAATGAAACGAACGAAAGAACTATTGAGCAATGCTAATATCTCACTTCGTATTTCGATAACATAATCTAGATTAAAAAGAGAAAAAAATATCATCATTGTATTTTCACTCGTGATGACTCCGATAAAATAAAAGACAATCTTGAGTTATCGATTATTGTCACATTAACTTTCGTTCCAGATTAAATCAATGTTTCAAATTCAGGAAGAATATATACCTAAACGATAAAAATCAGAAAGGCTTCTTCCTGATCTTTATCGATTAAAAAAAAATACTTACTCTATGTGTCAGACTATATAGGAAACATAAATAAAAGGGTTAAGCCCTTGGATTTAAAGCTAAAAAGAAACATCACCTTTATATAATATGAAATTACATTAAAAAAAGAAGCAACAATAATGGTTTATTATATTTTTATATTTATAATTATTTTAATTAAATATCGCCAAACAATAAACTCAATCGACTTCTTCCTTTTAACTATACTAAAAATAATTTTAGTGTCAAGTGTTCAGACAATAAAGAGAACAAAAATGCTGTTGAAAGGTAAGGGATATGATGTGGACACTCAAAATGCGTGAGAGAGCTGTCTGCCTTTTCCACGAAATATTGAGCTGATAACACCATCGATATCTTTTTCCAAAGAACCAAAAATGATCAAGTGGAACTATCCTTCTTAAGTGGAAGTAGTTCTATCCTTTTGATTGAGAAGATTTCTGTGAAAGTTAGGCTACGCGAAAGGTGGTTTGATTCGATCACTGAAACTTCATAGAATAAAAGTTAGGAGGAGAATCACCCTGTAAGAAAACGAACTAACGACAAATCTAGTGTTGGAGACAATACCCCACCTAGACGATATAATATTTATTTATGTTACCTGCCTTCAATCTAAGTTGTTTCATTTAAGTTACTCATCCAATTTAAAATGTTTTATAGCCTCTCCTGTTCTACAGGAGAGGTCATGAACTTCAATCACTTGATGGTTTGCGCATTCCTGAGCGACATTACTAATTCTTAGATCATTGACAAGCAACGTTACTAATTCTTAGGTCATCCCTAAGCAACATGACTAATTCTTAGGTCATTGACAAGCAACATTACTAATTCTTAAATCATTGATAACTATCACATGAAGGTTTCTTAGTACCGGTCTGCTGGACGGAAAATGACCCGTGAGGCCATCTCCTCGACAAAAGAAAAAATATTTTGTTTACTTACGTTTATTTCCTCTTTATTTTATTTTCATTCTGTTCTATGATAAATTCTAGTAAAAGCACAAGGAAGAAAATATCTATATTAAGAATGCATTGAAAGGAATTTATGTAGTGATTATACGAAATAACATGGATTCAGGCTGCGGTCAGTGTGTGGGTGGGTGACCACTTGGATCAGTCTGCGAGCGTGTGCGGTATTGGCCCTCGTTAAACTGTTCTACCGTAAAGTGCTCAACTTCGCTTGCAGGTCGTCGGGCTACCGAAGCGGGGGTGCCATCCCCGCTGCAGAGGATCAAAATTGTGATGGCATGTCTTCGGATCATCCTCAGGGATGCTTCCCAGACCGTCGCCAATAGCCCATAGTGCAGCTCTAATGCGACGTAAATGAACTACAACAATTAGTAAATTTTTTCTATTAAATTTAAAAGCATTAATGCTGCATGTCAAAGATATAAATATATATTATATTCAACATAAAAATAAATTTTAAAAAAAGTTAAAACATTTTTCATATCATAATTTTCTTTAAGGGCTAAGAAAAATGTTACATTCTTTGTCCTCAGTAACACTCTACATTTTTTTTTAAATCAGCCAATAAATTTTTGTCATTAAAATGAAACAAATAACTGAACAATTAAAGAAACATTATTTTTAAAAAAATGAAGAAAAAAAAACGATAACTTACCATTTACTTAGTAGTAGTTATGCTTTTTACCACAGTGGGGCGCTCTATACATTTAGTCAGAATGTATTTTCATTTTGCCACGTTTAAAATAATGTGTCGCTTTTTACACACTTTATCATAAATATGGAAACTCTTTATATATGGTTATTTTATCTGATTCAAAGCCACATACAAAAATACATTTTTTTCTGAAGCATATATATCATTCATATTGTGAGTATAAAATTATCGTATCTATTGAAAAATATTTATAAAGAGAAAGATTGTTTGTGATTTCATGACTTAAATTTAACATATCTAAGATGATTTATATTTTCAATTCATTTCTTAAATCTATTTGAGCATCTTATCAAGTACATTTCTACTAAATAGGATCTCATAATTTAATTTCGTAGTAACACGATGCTTGCAGCATTCCGTATTTTGTGCATAAATTTTAATATGTAGAGTATGTGACACTTACCATCACATTTAAAATATTATAAATAATATGGAGAAAAATAATATTTCAAGAAAAAAATACTTAGAAAGGGAGCAAAAGTAAACACAATAACAGACGAAATTATGATTGAATACCTGCAAGCGACGTCACATGTGGGTAAATCATGTAGCACAAATTTGCAGCCAATCAGGTTGAACACACACGCATGACGTCACTTGTAGGCAGATCCGAAAATTTATTCTGAAAATCGATAATAAACCAAATCTAATCACTGTAACATTAACACGCTATGCTCCAAACACGTGATTAGGAACAACCATGTGATTTCAAAGGTATTCTTACTGAGTTGCAAATAGTACCTA